AGTAAATTATGACATTTGGACATCACACCTATCCAATAATAAAGTACATGGAGTATCCAATTTGCTTCAGGAAACTTCCCTTAATACTGATTACAGTAGCTTTGTTCTTCAGGTATAGTCTTTTAAAAGTTACTTTAATAGCAATATCATAAAATATACTTGGTAATATATGCAGACTTTGCCATCTTTGCTCAGTATCCTTTTGTATACAATGATTTTTATTATTAAATTCTAATTTAAACAATACATTACTGTGACTCTTCTAAACACCTACTGTACAACATAGGCATGCGCAGATATTTGTAGCAGGGTGGGCTAAGTCAATTATTAAGAAACCTGAACTCTGATGGAAGAAACAATTAAAATTGTACATACCTACTTTAATTTACTTACTCATAATCACCCATTATTTAAGGCATAAATCATTCATATGATAAAAAACAGATACATATTTTTTTTTAATTATTAATTAAATAAGAAATATTTTAACTGTCAACAGTTTTAAATTTTAAATGAATACAAGTTCCCAATCTGTAATGGTAATATGTTATCATTTTTTTTTTTTAAACATTTAATTTATTATTATTTATTATCATTGAGTATCAAATATCAATGTTATTATTCACCTACCTATTTAATGTTTTATGATTTAAAAAATCAAAAATTGTGATGTTTAGATCATATATTACTATGTATACAAATTTCGGCAGGTCTTGCAGGGTGGGCCATGGACCACCTTGTGCGCACTCTTATGCTGTACAACAAAACAATACCCACTTATCACTTTTTTTCATCATGTTTTTCCTAGATATTATGAAAAGTTCTGGGAATTTTCAATTTTTAAAGTTGATTTAAAAAGTACCGAGCATAATACATTTCTTCACAGAAATCACCGCCAAAATTGAAAATCTAAGGGTTTTTTTCTAATTAATTTTTGTTTACATATACACACAAAAAAAAACATAGGGCATTGTAAAATCAATACATTGATTACTCTACTCAGAATCTATGAGATATTATAATGTGAATAATAAATAATATAATGTTTTTCTGGTATACTGCAACAGTGCAACAATTAACTGTATAGATTATTTAATTAATTTGCAAATTTAAGTTATGAAACATTTACAAAAACAAAATGTATAGAACAATACACGTTTCATAATAAATTATATATAAATATATTCAAATTACTAACAACAGTGAGAACATTCTGTTTTATGCTTATTATTTTTGATGTGATAGTCTAAACGACTACTCCACAATAAATTACATGTTTTGACAATATATCCATGGTCCAAGTTTTGGTGATTGGGTTGTAAATTTCTACAGTACCATTAAATTCTCAGACCGTAACACACAACGAACCATCTAATACAGCTACTCCTATAAGAAATGTAATTTTAATTCAATATATTTTAGATTCTGAGCGGAGCGATGAATGTATTGGTTTTACAATGATGTGTGTTTTTATATTTTTATATTTTTATATTTTTGTGTCTGTCATCACGTTTTGGGACAGTAAAAGTGCTTCGATTTTCTTCAATAGTACCTTTTCTGATAGGAAAGTGAATCTAGTTGGTACTTTGGGGGGTCAAAAGTAAACATTTTCCAGTAGTTTTCACATGCGCCGGGAAAAACAACATAAAAATTAAGGAAAAAACGGGAATTTTTACGCAAAATCGATTTTCCAAAAAATCGAATTTGGTTTTTGGTGTAACTTTAAAACAAATGACCGTAGATACATGAAATTTTCACTGATTGTTTATATTTGCATTTTCTATACACGATAACATTTTCAAAATATTTTGATTTATTTTGAACTGTTTAGGGACATTTTCATTTTCCATTTTTTTTAGTTTTTTTTTCCAAAAATATCAATAAAATTTTATTTGTTGGTTGCGAAAGCTTGAAAATTTAATAGAAGGCTCCTAATATGTTGTTTCAAAGGCAGATGAAAAATATTAAAAATCCTTAGTCACAATTTTTTTTTATAAGCATTTAAAGTTCAAAAATTGAAAAAATATGGAAAAATCACGAAAATTAGCAAATTATTTTGAGTTAAGAATTCGTAAAAATTTTTCTTTTTAAATCTAAGATTTGAAAATCTAATACAAGATTACTCATAAGATTGTCTACCTTTATCAATAAAAAAATTTCTACCGGAAAGTCAAGTTAAATTTTTATGAGCGTTTGAAATTCAAATTTTTACAACATTGGATATTCACTCGATTACTCATGTAGCGATTTCCTTATTTTGTTGCAATTCAAAAACGAACAACTGTAGATACATGAAAATTTCACTCAATGTTTAAATTAGCATTTTCTATACACCATACAATTTTGAAAATATTTTGACTCTTTTTGAGCTGTTTATGGACATTTACAGCTTTCAATTTTTTTTAGTTTTTTTTTTCTATAAATATCAATAAAGTTTTATCTGTTGGGCCAAAAAGTGTAAAAATTTAATACAAGGCTCCTGATATATTGTTACAATAGCAGTTGAAAAATATTAAAAATACATAGGCACAGTTTTTTTTTATAAGTATTTAAAGATCAAATTTTGACAAAATTTATCAAAATCTCGAAAATGATCAATCATTGTAATTAATAAATTATAAAATGTTCAGTTTTTATAGCTAAGGATTGCAAATTCAACACAAAGGTTCTCGTAAATAGTTCATACTGTAACCAAAAAATCTAAAAAATATATGAACACACTTATTTTTTACAGACATTTTAAATTCAAATTTGGACGAAATTACATATTAAAAAACCTAGAATAACTATTTTAGTTATTTTGTTGTGATTGAATAATATTATTCGTGGGTACTTGAAACTTCTAGAGTGTACTATTATATATCTATGATAGTATCACGGTTTTTGTTGATGTATAACGCGTTATAAGTACCTAATGGATATTGTGATATGATTAATTTGGAATTTATTATAGGTACCTATTATAGGTCAATTTTTTGTTTAATACCATAGATATGTATATAATATGTCTTATACATAGACTGACATACCGTCACCGCTCAGAATCGTTTTTCTTATACAATGATATTATATCATTGAATTCAAATTTAATACCATCCATTATACAGTGACCCACTTGTAACCTACTGTACAGCAGAGCGACATCCACTTGCCCACCTTTTTTTTTTTTATTAATGCTTCAAAACTTGATAACGATTCCGTACAGCTATGACACTCTCCAGTTGTTTTTGTAAAAACATAGCACATGCAGCACTTCCGAAATCTAACTGCAAGATGTTTGCAGCCGGTAATAAAACCTTGAAAATCAACAATAATACATTTAAAACAATTTTATATTAGTCTACGACAAATCAAAGTTAATCATACCTGTACATTTTCTTTTGTCACTATAATTTCTCCAGTGTAGATATAATCTACTAATAGTTGTAAAGCGACGGAGTCTAATTTTCTTATATTAACAACATCTTTATTGGTTTCATCAAAATTACTAAACATTGCACGGAAATATGTACTACCCGCCATCAGAACAATTTTGTGTGCAAATACTATAGTACTGTCATCTGTTTCAAATATAATATCACAATCTTCATTGCTAAAAAGTAAAAACAAAAATGTGTTAGGTACCTACTAATTATTTATTTTGAATGAAGCTAAAATCATTGACAACATACTTGCGTTGAGATTGTAATCCTTCTAGTATTCTAACAGATTGAAGGTTATCCGTCTTAAGCCATGGTGCACATTTATTGAGTTTCAAAACTGGCTTGAGACCATTTCCACCTCCACGCGATGAAGGCTGTAAAGCATCCCTTTACCTCTTACTGAAAATCCTCCTTTTGAATTATTTCGAAAATTGGTATACCGCTCGTTTGACAATCGGTTAAATGTAAAATGATTTCAATGATTTTTCTTGTGTCACGTTGTTTTCAATTTTGTGTCGCTCACTCTGACCTCACATGAGGTATTAGGTAATGTCACGGACTAAGTTGTACACGGTTATAAGTTATAACGGACTTGACACGACATTTTTAGTGCGTGGGGGGGGGGGGGTGGTTTTTGACGACGAAATGTAGTACAACAGACGGAGTTCGGGGGGATGTTTTCCTTTCAGCAATACTAGTGCTGCCACAGTGGATACTTATGGAACTAGAAATGTGTTTAATTGTTTTACAGTTTAGTCCTTGGCGACAATACACAATCCCCAGTCCCACACTCGGAAATCGCAACTGTTATTGATGGATGGTCAATCCACGTCCCACGATGTAGGGAAGAGAAGGTGATAACACTCCCCGAAAAAAGTGGCACAATTTTTGCACAGACTTCTATATAATTCTGTATTATATAGAAGTCTGTGAATTTTTGACGGCACAAATTTAGTTAACATGAATACCGCCACATTACTCGAAGGCCGGTTATATGCTATTACGGTGCATTAAATATAGAGTATAGACCATACTAATGTATAATATTGTTCGAATTTCATAATTCATATGATAATATATGCTTATATCATATTAGGTACTTATTAGCAAGTTGATATAAATAAAAATGTATAGTATAAATTAATACAGTGTGTCCCGTTTTAAATGTACCACTAAATATCTCAGCCCGATAATCTTAGATTGAAATACGGTTTGCTGCAATAGCTTAGGGGTACTGAAGTACACATTTAAGGACAAATTTCAAATATTTAACTCTTGTAGTACGCGCATGAGTAATAAAAATTTTTTTTTTAAATTGCAACACCTATTTTTGTCACCGGATATGGATAGATTATTTTATTCTAAGTAATTTTGATCCATTGACCATAGTTCTAAACCAAAAATTGAATGAGTTACACCTTTTGGAAATTTTAAAATAATTAAATTTTTTCGATTTTACCAAAAACATTTATTGTTTTAAATTTGAATTGAGTGATTTTTTCATAGATTTAAGAATGTGAAGTAGGAAATTAAATAAAAAATACTCCGTTACATTGTTTTGACTTATGTTTATTTTTTTCATCTAATAAAATGTTCGAAATTTCCTCCGTTTTTTTCTAAACACATTTCCAATCGACGACTCACTTCTCTAAAGGTTGCTGCCAAAATTTGTTCTTTCGTTAATTGTCTGCAAGCTACCGTTATTTTATTTTTTAAATCCTGTAAGTTTGCTGGTGGATCTGCATAAACAACAGTCTTTAAATGACCCCATAAAAAAAAATCTTATGGTGTTAGATCAGGTGACCGTGGGGGCCATTCCACTGGCCCGTGAGTTCCCACAGGGGCGTCATTTGGGGGGGTGCAGGGTGTACATTTGCACCAACATTTTTTATAAACGCCTTCTTTGGCCTGCCAACAATAAATATAAGCGCCGATATACCTAAGTGTTATATATTAATTATATATTATATATATTTTATATTTTTTCAGTATTTAAAAAAAATAATAAATATTATAGGTACTAATGGGTTTTATTTCCAAAAATGATCGATGTGGTTGTGTGGTTATATCATAGACATAATATAAAATAATAATAATATAATTAATAATTATGTCTATGGGTTATATATATTTTTTATTCTCTACCATGATATTATTACCATCGAATATTTAAATATCTGTGGGTATAATATTATGCTGATATAGATTTCTTATCACGCTCCGGTATCTCCCTACTCGTTATAATAAGAAAACAACATGATATATAATTCCCATCAAAAGAGAAAAAGTTGTCTATCCTAACCTAACCTAACCACAGAATATTATTTGTTTACATTTTTACCCTTGTCACTTACTTTCTACGGTAGAAATGATATTCTATGGTGGAAAAAGAAATTCTACCACCAATATTAAATATCCTGTTTGAAATTTTTGATGTATCCAGCAATAATTTTTTAATCCTAACTGCCCTCATTTAATATTCTTTACAAACCATCTAGTTATTTTCAATTTAATGAGTCTAAAATATTATCCGAATTTCCTTCTGCAAAATCCTTGATTCTTAAAAATAATATAACCAATTTGAATTTAAAAGACATTATTTCCTGTTAAAAAGATTTTCCAGTTGCTTTTTCAGAAACATTAAAAATAATATCTTTAGTTTTAACTTTACCTATAAGTACGGCTTCTAATGAAAGATTTTTTTCCTCACTTAAAAGAGTCAAGTCTTATATTAGATCAACCATGGGAGATGAGCGCTTAAGTGACTTATTAATGGTTAGTGTGGAGAAAGAAGAGGCCAATAAAATCAATCTAAATGATTCTGTAGATTCATTTTCAAAGTTGAAAAATCGAAGATATCCACTAATGTAATATAATATGTAATGTATTAAGTAATTATTGCTTTATGATAATAAATGTTTTTATTTGTGTAACTAAATGATTTGTTATTAAATTGAATTTAAGTTGTTAAATTAAAATTAGATGTGGAAAAATTTAGAAATATGAATTAAGTATATTGTGAAATTTTGAACAAGGCAACCCATAAAACAAATTTCCGGTTTTGGGGTTTAGCTATATTATTTATTTTGAGTGTGCAAGGAGAAAAAATGTATAGGTTAGGTTCGATTAAATACTATTAAGGTGCTTTATATACATAAATTTGCTTACCAAATACAACTGGCATCCACAATATAATATAAACTTATTAAAAGTACCTACACATAGTTCTTCAAAAATAGTAATAATATTGTGAAGTTTTTATATTAATATAAGTGAAGTATTAAATACATTTTACAAATATTCTACAGTTTTTGTCCCCACTAGACCCCCCCCCCCCCACTAAAGAAAAAAAAAGTTTTCTATGTGGCCTGGTAACAATTTGAATGGCCTGCAAACATTTTCGCACCAACAAAAAAAAAGTTGAAATGACGCCCCTGAGTTCCCATCCATCGATTTCCAAACATTTCATTTAACTGTTGTCTTACAATTATGGCATTATGAGCGGGTGCTCCATCCTGTTGAAAAAATAAGTTTTGACGAAGTAATAAAGGGACATCTTCTAACATCATCGGTAGCAAAGTTAAGAAATCTGAATAACGTCTTCCATTAAGAGTACCGTCATAAAAATGTGGACCTATTAAATTTCCTCCTAATAATCCGCACCACACATTTGTGCCCCATACTGTTTGATAATTTGTATCAACTGCCCAATGTGGATTTCCGTTTGACCAATAACGGTTATTCTGCTTACCGTAAGAGCGGGATACTTTACTCCAGGGGTTAAACATTGCTCCAAAAAAAATTTTTATTGATATCAATCGTAGCACATTACGATTTTGAGATCAGAGATTGTAGTTTTTTTTTATATTATTCTTATTAACATTACTAATTTTTTCAAACATTACGGACATGAATCTATTAGTTTTCCTCCAAGATGTTTATCATGTAAAAAATGGTTTTCAAAAACACAAAAATACATACCGGAAAAGTTATCCAAAATCTAGGGGATTGAAATTTAATTTAAAATGTATTGAAAAAAGACTTTTAATCAACTAGAAAAAAAAAATAAAAATATATTATTAAATTATATTAAGTATAGGTTCAAATAAGTTAAAACACAAGCACTAAACATTGCACCAATAGTTATTATATGCATTAAAGTAAGGTAATTTTAATCATTGTGCAATGTAACCTGCAATGTATTTTAACTTTGCTCCAAACTTTTGGGAATAAGTAAGTAAGTCATTAGTACGACATTCGGATTTTTTTGAATTGTTCTTACCTCTTAACATCTATACATATAAAACAACGCGAACAGGTAATTTTTATCTTTGTTATTGAAGCTATAGTATAGGTTCAAACTAAAAAAGAAATATATTTGGAGCAAAGTATCCCGCTCTTACGGTATTTAAAACGCCATTATTGGTAAACTTTGATTCATCGGTCCACAAAATGTAATTTAAAAATAATGGGTCGTTATTAATTTCTGTTGTTATCCATGCAATAAATGTTAATCTACGTTCGTTATCACCTTGGCGTAAATGCTGAACTAGATCAGCCCTATAAGGATGTAACTTGTATTTTTTGAATATTTTGTGTACCTTTGTTTTTGAAAAGCCAAATTCTCTAGCAACATGTCTTAAAGATGAGTGAGGATTTAATTGAATGTACGCAATTATTTCATTTTCCTGATCATCATTTTGTTCCATATTGCGTAGTGGTTGTCTCTGTGCATATCTTATCGAAAAAGTCCCGTAAGTTCGTAAATTATTAACTAATCTTAAAAAAAAATTATGCGGTGGATGATATCTTTCGGGATATCGATTTGCATAAACCCTTGCAGCCTCCCGACAATGTTTATTACACTCACCATAAATTAAAATCATATCAACTTTTTCACTATTATTGTTTAACATTTTAAAGAAGAAAAAAAGAAAAATCTTTCAAAGTATTATGTTAAAAGTTATAAGTTTTATCGATGAACGTACAATACTGAGTGAACGTGCATTAGTTCATTTTTGATAATCAAACAATATCTACAATAATAAAATTATCGAAGTACTAAGAATAAAATTAGAAATAATCTACTATTATCAAAGTACTAATAATAAAACTGGAAATAATTAAATAACTTTTATCGCACAATAATAACGCAAATTACAACGTCATTGTCAATTTAGTTGGTAAATTTATTTTTAAATTAATTAAATTTAATTTGGCTATACAATTTTTTTTTGGTAATTTTGTATTAAATTATTTAAATGTATTTCATTTTAGTTCAAAAATGACTTACTTTTGTATCAAATTCAAGCGTGTAATGTTTTTGGTAAAATCGAAAAAATTTAATTATTTTAAAATTTCCAAAAGGTGTAACTCATTCAATTTTTGGTTTAGAACTATGGTCAATGGATCAAAATTACTTAGAATAAAATAATCTATCCATATCCGGTGACAAAAATAGGTGTTGCAATTTAAAAAAAAAATTTTTATTACTCATGCGCGTACTACAAGAGTTAAATATTTGAAATTTGTCCTTAAATGTGTACTTCAGTACCCCTAAGCTATTGCAGCAAACCGTATTTCAATCTAAGATTATCGGGCTGAGATATTTAGTGGTACATTTAAAACGGGACACACTGTATAATTTTAGAAAAATTGAAAAAATGAAAATTCGATACAAGTCTCAAATCAATGCGTGTACTATTTCTCAAGTACGACTTCAATTGTTTTAATGCTGAAATCGTTCTTTCTGATGACTACGTTGATACCAATAAAGACTAAAGTTACTAACATTATTGACATCAATACCTACCATCACCTACCATAAAATAGAAAAAAATTCAACGGACACTTTATTTAAATTATCAATAGGACATTTATTCTCGGGAACTTTTTTCCATTTTCCATCCATACTTTTAATTCTGATTCAAATGTATTTTAACTGGGTAAAACATGTTTATAAAAGTGTTAACATTTTTAAAAATCATTATTACTAGTTTTAATTTTATTGAGTAGATTTGGAATCAACTTTTGTAATACAGAAATTATTTCAATGTGTTTAGAAAACCGTTTTAGTAATTGATTTTTAAAATAATCGGTAAATGGTATAAATATCGTTTGTTTATAAGACTTTTTCGGTGATTCACCTAGCGTATTGTACTACTACGAGAAAGTTGACGCCCAGTTATTCGAGGTATTTGTAGCAGGGATTGTAACCTTTATGTTTTTTTCGGTTTCGGTTTCGTTTCTGTTTTTCAAAAAAATATTTTTAAGGTTTCGGTTTTAATTATAAATTTCAAAAATATGAAATTGAGGTTGCGGTTACGGTTGTGGTTTATACCGGTTTTAACCTGTTACAAAAAAAAAAAATATTTTAAAATTTTAAGCGATTATAGAACCGTACTAATACAACCAAAAAATATGTATAGGTACCTACAGATAAACCTGGTAGTTTTCAACCAAGTCTAGGGATAGACAGCTCTTTTAACAATCAAAAACCGTATGATAACATATATTCCAACTTAAAATTACAACTAACAAACTTATGCTTTAGTATTTACATTTTTACTTAATTAACAATTATTGTTGTAAACTTCATTAATGTGTTGACTATTGACGACAGAGACGATTACAATATCACCACAACTCAATACAAAAACTTTCAGATGATTGATGTTGATTGTTGAGGGTAAAGATTCTAAATTGGAAGGTAGGCGTAGCACTCATTTTGGTTTAATATTAATACTTATTAGTATTATAATTCTCAAATAACAGTGCCGAGGCCTAAGAGTCTATTATGATTTAGGTTGAGACTTAAAAATTAATAAAATATAATACATATTTTATAAGCTTTCTTTTACAAGATTTTATATTTTAACAATATAATAATAATTTTTATATTCATAAAATACATATTATTATAATGTAACCATACTATTTTTTTTTGCGTTTTGAAGATGGGTTAGTAGTTCCAGATGTTTCAGTATGACTTCCTTCCCCTTGACTCATAGTGACCTAACCGAAAAAAACCTTTAAAAACCGAAAAAATTGAACTTTAAAAATTAGGGTTAGGGTTTTGGTTAGGTTTTTTAAACGTTTGAAAATAATGGTTTCGGTTAAGTTACGGTTAATAATTAACACAAGGTTCCCGGTTCTATAACCGGTTATTTTCGGTCCGGTTACAGTCCCTGATTTGTAGTTACATCCAATATATTCAAGTTATATTCGACTTCTAAGAAAAAAATTTTGAATATTGTTATAACGACGTATTTCTTACGGTTTGATGATATAGCTATAGCCATATAGGTACCTACATCTGGGAAACGGATGCTATTATACTACAGATCTTGTCATGCCTGTGATACGCGATTTGAGAAATATAATTTACGTTTTCCATTGTATAGGACACGATTCATTTATCGCAAACTATATAGTCATTTATCAGGTTTTAAATTTGTTAAAAAATTTAATTTAATATATTATTATAAATTATATTACTACAAAAATGTTATATTGATTATAATTTATAAATTTTTTTTTCAGTTTGTAACCACTAACCGACCAACCGACTGCGCCGCGGGAATTGCTTTCGGATTACTGCCGCGGCGCCCAAAAACTAAAAGCCATATGTATTTATAATTTGTAAGTTTATAACTATGTAATTAATTATAGAATGCAAGTCATCGAGCGAAACGGCAATCTATTATTAGTATTTGCTATTATACTACAGATCTTGTCATGCCTGTGATACGCGATTTGAGAAATATAATTTACGTTTTCCATTGTATAGGACACGATTCATTTATCGCAAACTATATAGTCATTTATCAGGTTTTAAATTTATTAAAAAATTTAATTTAATATATTATTATAAATTATATTACTACAAAAATGTTATATTGATTATAATTTATAACTTTTTTTTTTCAGTTTGTAACCACTAACCGACCAACCGACTGCGCCGCGGGAATTGCTTTCGCATTTCTGCCGCGACGCCCAAAAATCAATACCTATATATAATTTATAAGTATGTAATAGAATGCAAGTCATCGAGCGAAACGGCAATCTATAACTGATAAGCGAATGGTTGGAATCAATGACAATATAATATTATAATCGAACCCCTATAATTTATAAATCAAGGCCTGTTAAATATGTTATCGTGAGAAAAATTAATCATTTTGATTTTTAAATCGCGATACAGCACGTCATCGTGTTTGCGTGGATGTTTTTTTTTGTTTTCGAGTGTATAGGAATTTAGATATTACGATTTACGACATTAATATAAATTATTTATTAATAATAATAATATAATTATTCAATTGGAATTTTCTCGTATTTTCCTATTTACGCAGGTTGAGGTACGAATATTTTAGAAGTATTTTAATAATTATAATAATTATATTATAATCTTTACATATTTTTTAATAATCGCACGTAGCCCGTATTATTCACCCATAATAAATGGATGTGTTTATAGGTATGCAGGTAGCAGGTACCATAAAACGTTGTATGCGTTGTACACTTGTACCGTACATTCGTATCGAAAATAAAATTTAAAATAAAATCAGATCAAAATCTCATCATCAGTAAGCTCCATTTCGACAGCATATACAATTCCGATTTTTCAAATTTTAATGTATGTGTTATTTTGCGTAATTTTGCAGACCAATTTTCATTTTTTGTGGACAACTAGATTTTTAGCAAATCAAAAAAAACTTTACAACAAATTAAAAAAAATCACTTCCTTTACTTTTATATCATAGAACAATATAATATAATATATATAGTGTGATACATAAAATATTATGTAGTATGACGTATGATAAGCATTATACAAATTTATTGCAAATTTATTGAGAGAAAACTGTACTTGAGTCACGAGATGTGTTCAAGTAATCATTAATCAAGACATCAAGTGTTAATAAATGGTGATAAACTGATAAGTGTCAACAATGTACACCGGTCCAACTGCCAATGAAATCGCATTTCAGACAAGCTAGTGTGGCCGAACTTGTATATGTATGGTCCATAAAATACGATGCTAGGTGGACTTGGGAAGACACGGACTTGAGGACTTCCCATGTTCAGCGACCGGCGTCGACCCGTTTTGTGGAGCAGCGGAAACTTCATACAAAGGCACTGTAATATTATTTGAAAATATTATTTCTACTTAATCGTAATAACTGCAATGTAATAATTGGGTATAATGGCGGTTTAATATTATATTATATATCTATATATATAAAAACGGAGCCAAAAATGTATAACAATTCATCAATTGAGAACGGCTGGTCCGATTTGTCTCAAATTTTTTTTAAGATGTTCGTAATTGCCAGGAGAAGGCTTGTAAGAAAGAAAATTTTTAAAAAGTCAACCGAATAATTAGAAAAACTATTTATTGATGTCTGGGATTTGAACTCGATACCGTTGTCTTTATTTACACTATGGTAGACGTAGACATCTCTATGGCAATTAATACTATTTATTATTTATAATTATTTGTCAGCTCGATGTACTATTAGTATAATCTATGGTTTCTATGGTTATTTTATAGTTAAGTGTTCATTATTTTGTTATAATTATTAATTTATTACTAAGACTTCATTTTCCATTTTCCAGAAAAACTGTGTGAGTACAATTTTATTTTATTTTACTAATTAGCAATCACTTATTTAAAACCTGCATTTCTTATAACATGCGCGAGTAACTATGCATGACTTGAAATTTGGAATAGAGGTTCTTCTCATATTTACACCGAGCAATAAGAAAGGATTTGCCGAAATTCGCATTTTAAATAGGTGCTCCTCAAACAGGGACATTGAGATTCACGATGGAAATTGGAAATTTTATTTTTATTTATTAATAGTTGCTACTGGTTACAGTCTACAGTAGAAATTAGCATTTATTTATTATT